CTCAACTAATCTAGCAATAGTTGAGCTAGTCGATAAAATAACTAACGCAATTGAAAATAATGAAATAACTGTTGGAATATTTCTTGACTTATCAAAAGCATTTGATACAGTTAATCACACGATACTTCTAAAAAAATTACAGTTTTATGGAATCCGTGGACATTGCAACGATTGGTTTAAAAGCTACCTTACGAATAGAAAACAAATAGTTAAGTACAACAACGTTCGATCAAATGAAATGGCCATTACTTGTGGAGTGCCTCAAGGCTCAGTCTTAGGACCCCTCTTGTTTTTAATATATAAATGATTTAACTAATGTAACTGAAGCACTTTCACCTATATTATTTGCAGATGATACAAACTTGTTCTGCTCAGGAAAAAATATAAAAGATCTAGAAGTAATAATTAACAAAGAATTGAAACATATACATAAATGGTTAGAAAGCAATCAGTTAACTTTAAATATAAAAAAATMAAATTACATAATATTCAAGTCAAATAAAAAAAAAAAAATTCAATCTCAACCTCTATTAGAAATAAACAATAAAACTATTGACAGAGCAAAACAAACTAAATTCCTAGGAATAATTATTGACGAACATCTTACCTGGAAGGATCACATTTTTGATTATATTACTAAGAAGATAACAAAAACTACAGGAATTCTCCGTAGAATGCGCTATTACGTTAGCCAAAAAATTCTAAAACTACTTTATTACACACTAATATACCCTTATCTTTACTATGGAAATATTGTCTGGGCAAATAATTACCCGCCGTCTAGAATTAATAAGATAGCTAAATTGCAAAAAAAGATTCTACGAATCATAACATTTTCYTCATATTCTTCACCATCACTTCCACTTTTCAATAATCTAAACATATTAAATGTCCATCAAATTAATGACTTACAAATAGGAATCTTTAATTTTAATATCATTAATAACAATCTTCCTAATTATTTTAGAAATCTCAATATCGAAAATAATAAGATTCATGACCATTATACAAGAAATTACAAAAATCTACATAAAAAAATTATACGAACAAATTATGGAAAATTCTCAATTAGAAACAAAATAGTTAATTTATGGAATTCACTTCCTACCGTATTAAAAACATCTAGAACCTTTTTTATATTTAAAAAGAGAATGAAAATATTTCTTCTCTCAAGTCAAGACCCAAAAACTTTAATGATTAAATAATTCAAGCTTATACAATTATTCATATATAATAATTTTCTAAGAATTGAAAACCTGCATGGTGTACAAATATTTTTCTATCATGATTTATAGTCATCTGATACCTGACTATATATTAGTAAAAAAAAAAATGTAATTAAGTTGTTTTCAAAATGGGGGAGCTTMTTGTAAAAGCCTGAAAGGGTTTCTATAGCTCTCCCCACATATGTGTACTATAAAAATGGAATATATATATATATATTCATATAAATCAAATTGTAATAAGTATACATTTTGTGAAATAAATGATTGATTGATTGAGCTGTTGCATCGCACTTTAGGTTCTATTTGCTTGCAGTAGTCCAGTGAATCCAAACTATTGTCTTTTCTCTTTTTAGCTCAAAAGCTTGGCTTGAAAAGCAAGCAAAATGGAAGTCAAAGTGTGAAGAATTCATAAAAAGGCCGATTCCTGTACCAAGATTGCTCAGGTGCATCAAATAATCTCCATTATAATGCAAATGTACATGATTTATCATTGCCAACCCAGACTGGTCATGATTCAAGCAATTATGATCATACTTTTCCATCAATCAAAAGCTTTAGTAGGTGAACAAGTGCTACATGTATTTTCCAGCTAGCTGTGGCTTGATCTAAAAGCGAACCTGACCGTCTTCAAAAGACTTAAGGCAGTAGGGACATATATTAATTTTCACATATATTTTGCTGTAGCAATAGTTTTGGG